ACTGAGAGCTTTGTCTTCCAGCTGAGTTCTCTCCTCCAGGGGCGGATTTAGGACTGAAGAAGATCCGGGGCTTAACACGCGCGCACACACACGTGACACGCACTAGTCAACATCATATATGTCTTGTACCACATAATTTTTAATCTGAAGCTACATACCGTAAATCCTCGAATACAGGCCGGTATTCAATTAAAGGCCGGGTCTCCAATTCTGGCCGGTGTCAGAGTCAGCGGAGGTAAATAATGGCCGGTCTCTTATTGTGGCCGGATGAAATTTGGTAACAAGCTAGTACGAGCGTCCCAGCGGCAGGGTTATAGTCCCCAAATCAACCAGCATGAGGCAGTAGAAGTTCACGCAGACCTTTTTTAAGCTTTTTCTTCAACGCTTTGTAATGCTACAGACAAGATCCTCTATCACACTCCTACCACACAGAGTCACGGTGTCAGTTAACCATGCTAATTCAACCCGCTCCACAGAACACACATCACCTTCCCTGTGGCTTACATAACACTCACACAACACGCAAATCAGCACATAGGAACTAGCAGAACGATAGGAAACACATATAACACAATACCCAGAATGCACCTGGCTTACAACCCCAGCCAGGTCATTACACTATCAAGTTCAAAGAGAACGTGCTGATTATGCTGCAGAACACTCTGGAGAGCAGCAGTAGGGGGTGTATGAACTACAGTAATCCCTCGTTTATCGCGGTAGATGCGTTCCAGACCTGGCCGCGATAGGTGAAAATCCGCGAAGTAGGGACTCCCAGCATGCCCCTCGCGGGGATTCCCTTCATGTCGCACCTACGTCACAAACCGCGGCTATAAACGGAAGTCGCCTTTCCAGCTCACCACTCAGTCATCGTTTCTTCAGATTCACGATCAGAGTTTCCAACGTACCGATCAATCCAACGAACTATCAGCTCATAGTAAGTTATCTTACTTACTTCTGGAAAGCCCGGCATTTCCGTGTCACTTCGTTGACGCTCGAACGCTCGGGGGTTTCCTAGAGCAGCCGGCGTTTCACCGACGCTATCACTTCCGCGTCTGTGAAACCACGCTCCCTATTGAATTATCGTATGATCACATTCTCTGTGATCAGCAACGCTCTGTGCCAGACCGTAGGTACTGACACGCGATCGTTCATGTTGGTTCATTTCCTTTAATGTTTTCTGTCTTTTATTTGTGCCTGATGTGTATCGCTGCTGTGGAGCGGGGCGAATCAACTTGTCCTCCGACGCATAGATCACTGATGCGACCGGCAAGCAGGGAGTGCTCAGCTGTTTTCGCGGTCGGTAGATCTGCCTCCTGAGCACGGCCACAGTAACAATCAGGTGTCGCCACCTCAAAAACTAATTTAACACGCGATCGTTCATGTCAGTTCATTTCCTTTAATGTTTTCTGTCTTTTATTTGCGCCTGATGTGTTTCGCTGCATGCTGTGGAGCGGGGCGCTGCGCGCATCACCTTGTCCTCCGACGCACTGATCACTGATACAGCCGCCAAACAGCAAGCGCTCCGCTGTTTTTGCGGTCGGTAGATCTTTTAGAACTGCAGTTCAAAGGTAACTCATGAGGTGAATATATATGAACCCAGGTAGCAGTTTTTCTTTAGGATTGAGAGGAGATGCAGGAAGATAATAAACAGACAGGACAGAAAAATAGTCAAATAAAAACAAGTTAGTTTTTGTACCTGGTGGTTGCAACAAACAGACACCATTGAAGGTCATCAGAAGTGAGGAACAGAAAATGAAATAATTATTTTAATGTTTAGAGCAGCAGGAACTCCGAGAGGCTGCAGGCGCATCAGTGAGTTTGCGGCCGCTGTGCAGGGGGAGGGGGGGGGGGGTGGCTGAAGCAGGAACTACCGTTGTTAAAAGAAATGTGTTTAACTTTGAAAATGTGGGCGCACTTTTAATTGTCAAAAACTCCAGCAAACCATTAGTTCATTTTGCTCAAATAGAAATAGAGGCCTGCCTCTAATACTGGCCCTCCTTCCAATAAAGGCCTGGAGCTTGATGAGCTTGAGTCAAATACAGGCCCGGGCCTGTATTAGAGGATTTACGGTATTAAGCATATTCAGGGCAGAGTATTGTTCCTGTTAGTGTTTAGTGGATACCTGTTCCTCTGGGGTCCACAGCATCACATGCGGGGTGCCTCAGGGATCAATTCTAGGCCCAGTACTTTTTAACCTCTATATGCTCCCTCTGGGCAGCGTCATCAGGAGACATGGGGTGAATTTCCACAGTTACGCTGATGATACACAGTTGTACATCTCCGTGTCTCCTGATGACTCTCAGCCAATGGAAACACTTTTTAATTGCATTTTAGATATTAAATCATGGATGACTGAAAACTTTCTCCAGCTCAACCAGGGCAAAACTGAAGTTTTAGTCATCGGTCCTGAGGCCCAGAGAGAGAAACTTTTACCTAAACTACAATCAATGTCTTTTTATCCATCACTACAAGTGAAGAATCTGGGTGTTATTTTTGACTCTGAGCTGACTTTTATCCCCCATATTAAAAACATCACAAAAATAGGTTTTTACCATCTTAAGAATATCGCCAGAGTCCACCCCATTCTCTCTCGGGCCAATACGGAGACGCTAGTGCATGCTTTTGTAACCAGTAGAATTGATTACTGCAATGGCCTGCTTTCTGGTCTTCCCAAAAAGAGCATCTCAGGTTTACAACTTTTACAAAACTCAGCAGCACGTGTCCTGATGAAGACCAGGAAGCAGGAGCACATCACTCCGGTTTTAGAATCACTGCACTGGCTCCCTGTATGTTTCAGGATTGATTTTAAGGTTCTTTTAATGGTTTTTAAGTGTCTTAATGGTCTTGGGCCTTCTTATCTTTCAGAACTGCTTTTACTGTATAAACCCTTGCGGTCTCTGCGCTCCTCTGGCAGCCGTCTCCTAGTTATCCCTAAAGTTAAGACTCACACCCACGGCGAGGCGTCCTTCAAGTATTACGGACCTCGCCTTTGGAACGGGCTGCCGGAGGACCTCAGGTCCGAAGGGAACATCCAGGCTTTTAAGAATAGGCTCAAGACCCACCTTTTTAGCTTAGCTTTTAACTGATTACTGTTTATCTATAAATACATATTTATCTCTTTTATTATTTTTATCATTTTATATACATCTTAGTGTTTTTATATGATTATGTTTTCTTTTACTATCTTTATAATCACTTTTTATCAGTTACTTTTTATCATTATTAGCTTTTATTATTTTATATGTTATATATCTTAAATCCTCCAGTGTTTCCTCTGCGGAGCCCTCTGCCTTGGGGCCGGTGGTCAGGGGCGGCGGCGGCCGGGGCGCTCCCCAGGTAGTGCCCGGGCACTGGTGGGGGTTTCTGCCCTACGCCACTGGGCGTCATGGGCCGGTGTCTTGGCTGCTGCCGTGGATCTGTTGCTGCCAAGGCAGATGGCTCCGCTGATGATGTGTCGTTCATTACCTGACCCATCTGAACTCAGCCTATTGTTTCCTCTGGTGTTCACGAGTGTGTGTGTGTGTGTGCGTGTGTGTGCGTGTGTGTGTGTGTGTGTGTGTGTGTGTGTGTGTGTGTGCGGGTGATTGTATGTCCACTTTGGAAGTTGGGTGCGGGAGGGGAACTGTAATTTTTAATTGTTTTATACTTGGGGAGGGGGGCTGGGATGGGAATGTGGGATCTATGGGGCCATTTTAATCTGTAAAGCACTTTGAGTTGCATTTTTTGTATGAAAAGTGCTATATAAATAAAGTTGATTTGATTTGATTTGATTTAGTGTGAGATGATAGTAAATATTCCCGCGTTCTTTCTCCATCAACGTTACCTGATAGTAAGCTAACTTTAGGCAAACCAGCAGCACAACAAATATTTTTAAATAAGACTCACAAACCTGAGTCAACACCAGTCTCATCAAAGCTGGGGTTCTGTCGCGGTACTTTTTGTCTAAAAAACGTCCTTATGTCCATCTTCACTCATGCGTTTCAGGCAGAGAGTGTAGAAGAAGCCGGCTGCTGAAGGGCTTCTTCTTCAGTGGTGGAGGCTCAGGCAGGCTGTATACAAACTACTGCCAGCTTCGCCCTCTGTTGGACTTTGGTACTGCATGTTCCGCGATTTAGATCCGGGGCTTATCATGAAAGATCCGGGGCTTCAGCCCAAGTAGCCGGGCCTAACGCCGCCCCTGCTCTCCTCACCACGACAGACCGGTACAATGCCCGCATCACTGCAGACTCAGCCCCAATCCGCCTATCAATCTAGCGCTCCAGGTTTCCCTCACTCATGAGCAAGACCCAGAGATACCTAAACTTCTCCACTTGGGGCAGGACCATGTCCCTGACCAGTTAGTCTTTACAGAACTATGAGAAAAATTTATGATCCACCTTGCTGAGGTTTATTTCCTGTCTGCCTGTAGCTTTGTAACTAAAGCTTGACTTAAACAAAAAGAAAAATCGGTGACATTTGGAGAAAAGAAACAGGCCAAACTTGTTAAATGACTGGGAGGGGAAATAAACAACATTAATAAATGGTTTGGACCTAAAATGACCTGCAGTCTCCTTTAAAAAATGTTGGTGTTGGATGTTGCTGTCCTGTTGTGTTTTTGCAAAGAGGATCAGGCAGCCAGTCAAGCAGTCAATATTGACTCAGCTGTTGTGTTGGTGTGTGCGACACGCCCGGGTAACCAAGTTAGCGAGCAGCATGCTTCTCTCCATTCCACTGCTTTGTTATTTTTTCCTTCTCGTTTGAACCATAACAGGAACCTGCTGGTCTCCCATTGGTTTCACATAACAGTTGAAAGTTCAGGTAAAGAAAGAGGCGGCATGGTGTGGTTATGCTGGGTTTAACCGTGTGCTGTGTCTGTGAAGGCAGCTGGGCAGCACATTCCTTCAGCCAAAGCTTGGGAATCACACGGAAAAAACAAACATCAGAGAGAGTTAGTAGAGAGAGACAGTGCTGAGGGGGAGAGCAGCCAGCAGCAGTGCAGGGAGGGTTACAGTTCTACTTACATTTGCAGCCATTGTCCCACAAATAGCCGGGTAGACACTCCTGACACTTGGGCCCTGTAGTGCCCTCCTTACATATACAATATCCTGTGCCATTACAGCGATCACTGACTGAGCCAACGGGATTACAATTACACTCTGGAAAAATAAGACACACACACAAAGAGACTGGAGAACATGGTGGTGCTTTGGCTACCGGCACACTTCTAGGACTCCCACAGTCCTCGAGCTGTACCATCAGCTCCACAAGCGGCACCGTTACCTCGAAGTCATCAGGTTTTTGGAGAAATGCGACCATTTCAACGATAATGAAGACAGAATGAGATAAAGAGTGAAACCGGTTGGAGATGCATAAACAGAGGAATTTTTCTGCCATTTTGAAAAATGTGTTTTGGTTGTTGATGTCCTGAATGACCTTAGTTTGAAAAAATGGTGTTTACAACCAACAGGATTGATCAGCTAAAGGCTAGTCTTCAGCTGGGACCAATGTTTACCACTGCCATCTTAAAAGTTAAAGTCCCATTAGTCATCATACACTGGTGAAATGTTTTGTCTACTTTTGACCCATCCCACGCTCAGGAACCATTTGTTGGTTTAAACCCCCAATCTAACTCTTTAATACTGGGAGACTTGGTTTCCAAGTCTTTGGTATGACCCAATCGTGGATTTGAACCCGCAATCTCTTAAAAAAACAAATATTTTTCATAGTGGGTCATACAAAAGCGTTTTATAAGCCTGTAAACAAAATTTCTTGGTTATTTACGTAAAATACTCTGGCTTAGTGGTCCATTTTCCATAAATGTCTACGTTAGTGTCACTATACATAACTATTTTAGCAGAAAAGCTGCTGCTTGTGGAATTTACAGTAACTAACCATAGAATTCCATGTAAATAAATGTGCAATGCAAACCAGGATATTTCATCTGTTTTAAAATGACAGTAATAGACTTTAGTCTTAGCTTTGCCACCATTAGCCATTAGCCTGAGAGTCCTATGGCCAAATAAACAGTATTTCTTTGAACTGATGCTGTTCAGGAAATAAAAATAGGAATTATTCTTTACATTTGCATTTAAACACACTTTTAAATGGCCAAAGAATCCCTTTAAATTCATTACAATACCTTTGCAATAAATTTTCTCTTGATTTCACTGTTAAACAAAAACACATTGTGCAGTGAGCATTTAGGCAATGCAAAATAAGTAGCTTTGGTTTCAGATCAACAAAGTAAGCTTTTTTCAGAACATTCATTCATTCATGCGGAGGAAGAGAAAGATGGACCGTTAGAGAATAGATGATGGCCAGAGACAAATGGGACAATGAATGTGGAGGTGTTAGAGGAATGAGAGGACTTTACATTGAAATGGGCATTTTTGTTATGCGTTCATTTTAAATAGATATAAAATAATTGTACGTAAAAAACTTCTCCTTAGGTTTAAATTTGTTTATAAATTATTTTCTGATGTTAACGGAAAAGAAGAGTTTTCATTAGGGATTAAAAACAAAGTCTAAATAAAAGCAAAGCCTTGTCATGTCTCTGGTGTCCTACACCTAATTGACCTTTCACCTTTCCACAGCAACTGCAGAACGCTGCAGTCAAAGTGACACCTATTTTGACAGTCCCTGACCATAGCATCACACCTTCTGTGGCTGCGCTGCATGCGGCTTCACCCGACTGACATCCAGGGGTCAGGCAAGAGGAGAGAGGCGGCGGCATGTGACAAACTGGGGGGTCAGGGAAAGAGAGGCAGGCTGACGGGGAGTTTGGCTCCCAGTAACGCTTCTGTGACTCCTAATGCCAAGTGACGGGCTTCAGCTGCTGCTCCTGAGGCCATTTCATGTATATGACATATGCACTTGCCTGGCATTTCTCACAGGCTGCAGAAACGTTCGCTCTGAGTTCTTGTTGCCTGTCAGACTCCCCCCTCAGGACTTATAAATGCACCTGACACTAAGCAGTGTGAACGAACTCACAGTACAGTCACCAGCTAAAGACTTCAATACGGAAACCAACCAATGCCCTGGGAGCTGTGTGAGACGTCACATTTGCACACAGGAAAAAAATAAATACCATAGTTTATAAAGAAAGTTAAGAACAAAAAAATCCACCTATATACATATTATGGTTTAATAATATAAATCTACCATGTCAATACCCAGAAAAGTAAAAAAATAAATAAGTTATGGGAATTTTATATTTAAAAAATTGTTTTTGGGGTGGAATCTTTTTACAAAGTTTTGTTGTCATTTATTAAAACAAAAAATACCGAAACAAAGCCTTTTTTTAAACCCCCAAAGTTAAGCAAATATTGTAAGTTAATGTAAGATTAAAAAAAATTAAATGTTGGAGAAAAATATTTTTTAAGAGACTTAGAAAATATCTGCTTTCTTATTTATATTGTAATTTACAGTTTAGGGGAAAAAAAGAGTTTGATCTTGCTTAGAAATAAGAAGCGAAGTACATTTTCTTCAAGCATGACCTTATGATATATTCTGTCATAATCTCAGACGTAATACTAAAAAATAAATGCGTTTGTGAGGAGAGTGATTCAACAGAAACAGCCTTCGGGATTTTATTTAGAAATGTGACGACCTATCAATTACAAGCGAAAATACGTTTGCCGTTTTATTTTGTAATGTATCCCGTGCATTTCCCGTCCTGACACTGGCGGTCGTCCTGACAGTGGAGTCTCCACCGGAAGCAGCCTGACAGTGGAGGTCTGCAGCCAGATGCTTCTCGCTCTTGGCTATTTTAGGGTAGGCCCCGCCCACAATATCGCAGCTGCTGCGGCTCCCAGTGCTTTCTTTACTGTGGGAAGCGGGTAATAATGGTTTTTTGACGGGAAAAGGTTGCCGACCCCTGTACTATGGCGTGATCAACAATGGCGTGAGGAGTGAGAGGTGCGTTTTCTAGCTGGAAATATAGTCACTATTTTGAGATTGTATCAGCTAAAGATGAAAATATTAAGGTTCGTTGTACACTCTGTGCTGGCTCTGTGTGTTTTTTTTTTATGAATACTATTTATTTTAAGTGAGGTCAAGAAAGACTGTTTTTATTTTATTTTTATACAAACATGCACTATGTCAGGCAATAGGTTTTAAGTTCAACTTAAAATGTAAGACAGATATGTTGTTGACATTACTGTTAAAAAGCATTTGCAATAAAGTGAGTGCTGGCAAAACCAGTTGCAGTTTTTATGTTGAGGCAGTGGAGAGTGTTTTTGGTAGATGCTGAATGTAACTAATAAAGTAACTTGTAATCTAACTTAGTTACTTTTTAATGATTGAATCAGTAACGTAACTGAGTTATTTTTGGAAGGAGTAACCAGTAGTCAGTAATCGGATTACTATTTCAAGGTAACTGTGGTAACACTGCATACGTCAGACACTATAACGCAGAGTTTGTCATAAACATGGCGACTGAAGCGGAGTTCACTGCAGCTCTTTCCTCTGTTCTAAATGACTTGGACACATCTTTAAAACAACAAGTAGAAGCGCTAAAAGCCTTTCTTCTAAAGAAAGATATTTGCACTGTCGCCAGACGCCATTTTTGACTACAGCTAAAAAACTACAGCGTCGCGGACGTCACACACAGCGACGTTCCCTTTCTCATAAACAACGAAGACAGCAGCAGTGTTTGCTGTGGCTCTTTCCTCTGTTCTAAACGACTTGAATGACTTTAAAACCACAACATGTAAAAGCACTAAAAGCCTTTCTTCTAAAAATAAAAGATGTTTGCACAATTTTTTTACTACAGCTAAAAAACTACAGGGTCGCGCGGTACAGTCGGCATTTCCGTCCTTTTTTCTGATTGGTTATTTTTGAGCTGGCTAGTCCCGCCCCTCATGTGCCTCTCTGCCTGTGAGTTACCAGACTCTTTCTCTGTGCAGAATTAAACAGAGGACGAGTCTGGCAGGCCAGGCTACTAAAATAACCCTTTACAGGGTTAATGAAATGTCACTCAGAGCCCTACTGCCCTCAGTAGCCAGAATATTGCACTTGCAACTTTAGAGTGTCGGGCTGGCACCTGTTAGACAAATTGACCTTACCCCGGCTTTCCACAGGAGCCGTCAGCAGCACGTTACTGCAGCAGCACGTCATAGCTGCTGATAGGAACTGCTGTGGTCAACAGAACCTTTTCCACTGGAGCCGTCAGCAGCCGTCAGCAGCGCGAGTCGGCCGCATCTCAGGAGCAGCATGTCGCGGCCTTTACGCGCCGGTTCTATTTTCTACGTGCGGCGCCTCTGAAACGGGTCAAGTTCGACATTTTTAAGGAAGGAAAGACAGGAAATCAGACGCGGAAATGGAGAGAAGCTCCCGAGATTTTCAGAATAAAGAAACGTACTGCCTTCCGGTTGCTTTACTTTTAAAAAAGGTTACTAACTGTGCGTCCCCGTGAGAAGTTATCACCTAGCTAGCGGTCTCCTTTGTTTTTCAGGTCCGTATCGGCGATTATAAAACGGACAGAACATAAAACACAAACCATGTTGTAGTTTTCTCCTGCTTGTTGTTGTGTTTACTGATGACGTCACTCGTGTGACTTCGTGCTTTGTCAGTGACAGCTGCTCCCCTGCTGCTTCGCGTCTCGTGGGAAGGGCCAAGCAGCAGCTTACGCGAGCAAGGTGTGCTGCTGCAGTAACATGCTGCTGACGGCTCCCGTGGAAACCCGGGGTTACATTGCTAGTGCTACAGTCTGCTCCCAGCACATTTCCTGCTTGTTTGATATCATTGAATACAGCCGATTTATTTGATTTAGTGATGAACTGCTCCTGTAGAAACTAATGAAGGCTGGGGAGACGTTTCAGCAGTTAGATTAAGGTGTTAAAAATACAAACACACAGCGAGGAAATAGGTTTCGCTTTTGCTTTGACCACAAATAATTAATAGCGGACACTAGGGGGTGCTAAATGCAAGTAAAACTGCCAAGCGTACCTTTAGTAAACACCAAAAGTAACTAATCAAAGCTTTAAATTAGATTAAGCCACCGCATTTAGCTGGTGAACCTACAACACCACATTGTCTAGTTAATTAATACAAATCTTTCCATTTTTGGGAAGTTTTCAGTAAATGCTAAGTAGATATTGAATATAAAGCATTTATATATTTTGTAATCACCATTTGTTTTTATCTTTTGATTTGAGAATCTGTACATGTTAAAATTATTTAAGAAAAAGACACACTAAAATCATTTAACCTTTATTGTATCTGCCCAAAGTGGAGTGAAAGACAATGTGTTACAAACATTTAAAGTAAGATGAAATGAGTGGCTCACCAGAGCAGAAAATAACAACATGGATGTCTGCCGTAAGGACAGGACAGTGTGTTTGTGGTGCAGCTGTGGGGCATGAGGTGACACCTCCTCCTTTGAGGAGTCAAAGACAGGAGGTAGGGTGGAGAAGGTGTGAAAGCATGCTGGCGGTGAACAGGGCCAGGTGGGGGACTAACCTATGCACACATTTTCATCGTCCAGTTCTGCTGAGGCATTGCGGTAGTAGCCCAGCTTGCATAGCTGGCAGTGCTGGCCCCTAGTGTTGTGCTTACAGCTCACACAAATGACAGTGTTTAGCACCTCGATGTAGCTGCATCGGTTGGAGTGGCCGAAGCATTCACAGTCTTGCAAAAAGAGAGGAAATGTGAGGGGTAAAAGAGGGGAAGAAAGAGGCGCTGCAGAGATGTCGGTGCTGCAAGAGCTACAGCGGAGGGGTTAGCAAAAGTCTGAGCGAGGCGCTGCTGCATGCGAGGTAGAAAATGCCGATGCTTCAGGGTGGTGGAGAAAATGCTGATGGGGGGGTGGTAGGTTCATGGGAAATCTGGCAAAGGCACAGCCAGAGTTAGAAACAGATATCAACAAGAACCAGCATGTTAGTAGGATCTGAAAGGTCACATTACTTCAAACACACCACAGCACGAGGCGAGAGAGGGCTCGAGATGATGGCACAGATACGACAGAACACCACAAAGCATAGAAGGCAGATCAAACCACAAATGAAATGGATCCTTCAGCTACGTGGTGGCAATTCTGCACGTTTACAAGAGCATCTAATTGATTTGGTTCAAGGACTGAAGTTTTTATTTACCCTAAATAATGATGATGTAAAATTTAAAGAATCTTTTCGTCCTGAGGCATATTTAGATCTCTGGATTTAAAGCAAAACTAGATGTGATACTTAGCGGCAGCGCTACCCTGAAGTAATGCAGTTTGGAGGAGTGCAGCCTCATCTCAACACTCCCCGAGTCTGCCTCGCTGAGTGGCCACCGACACAGTGTCTCAGCCCAGACAGATGTCACTGTTAAGCCTTGTTGGCAACCGCTCGGACCAACACCCCACTTAAGGCTCCAGAGTACAGAGGTTAGCAGATGGAGCTTTTGTCCATGGGCTCAGCATTATTAGGAATCCGTATTGAGGTCAGCTCTCTCTCTCTCTGCTCAGCCAAAACCAACCTGACAAGGCCTCAGAACAAAGGAGCAGTCTACCTTCCACCTAAATCAGCATGTCCTATCTGAGTGTGAGCTAAGGTCCTCTACATTAGATGGCTCACTCTCGCAGACGTACTTTCAGAAGACAAATAATCTCTGCTCACTAGAAATAGGCTAAAGTCATAAATCATGCATGCATGGGAGGAAAAAAAGACGTCTCAGAAACATGTTCTCCCAAAAATAGTTGTAGCCGAAACACCCACTTTATTTGCACGGAAAATAAATGGTTCTATCGGAGTTTTATGGTGTTTGGAAACTTCTCCGAAGAAGAATGAGCCCTCTGTGTGCTCTTGACGGTGAAATATATCAGTAAAACACCAAGGTTTTCTAGCATTTTGATGCAGGGGTCAGGGGGATTACAAGTAAACAAGAATATCAGAGTGCACAGTGATAAAGGTTTGGGTATCATTTCGAGGCAGTGTATGAGTTCCAGAGCTCCTACCTCGCTTGCTGTTTGCAACGTAGATAGAAGGGGCAGTGGACAATGCAACTTGAGGAGCTACTAGACAAATTAAAAGAAGAAAAAAAAACTGTGATAATAAAATAAAACATAATATTGCAATTAAAAATAACACAAGTAATGTCAGATAATCAAGAATAAACAGGCATCGTGCCCAACGAAAGAAAAAGAAATAAAAAAAGAAACGTGTAACAATGATGAATGATGGCACTGAGAAATAAGGAGTGACATTGCCAAGTCAAGCTGGCTGCTTGTAGCAGCATCTGCTACAAATGTCTTAGATTATGAACAGAGTAAATATTATGGTTCCTCTTTAATGCTTGATTTCATTAACAAAGAGCTTTGTAGAATTCAAAAGCCTTTGTGTATTTTTCCCCAGACAGAAATCACCCATTTATAAACTGCTCTCCACCTTGGGAAGGGAAACAAGCCAAGAATGTTCAACAAGTGCATTTGTTTACGAAAGCTAACTGTTCTGTTCTGATCAGAAATAAAAACGACGAGCTTGATTTCTGCTTTTAAACAGGGCAATCTAAAGCCCTGATCCATACACTTTCTGCATTTGTCTGTAGCCATGGAAACATGGAGCATAGCGATTGTGCATTTGTAGATGTGCATCACATCAGCATGATGTATTAAACTAAGATGAACCCAGGATCAGTATGTAAACATGCTAAAACCTTTCCTGTCTTTTCTTCTTAATTAGATAATACAGACCGGAGTTTCCCAGGAAACTCTAAACCCAACGCACACACGTACGGTGAACACACTACATACTGCAATATGAGCGCCTCGTGAATTCACAACCGTCACCGAACATGAAAAGCACACTGAAAATGTTTTTTTGTCTGGAAACCTGGGAAAAGTTATAAAAAACAAAAAACACTCCTCCAGAACAGTTTTGGCTACCAAGGAGCCAGTTTTTTAGTGGCTGAGGTAAAATGAATCATAATCTTAGATGCCTACCTTCTTTTCGATTAGCAACACCTAGGGAGGAGACATTCGGCCGTACTGCGTGCAATTGAGAGAAACCAGGAGTTATTCATGTGTCCTTGTGTGGTGCGCTCAACAGATTCTCTACGGGCGGGATAGGGTAGGAGGGGGGGACTACGTGGTTGTTGGACACAGACAATTGGAGACACGAACATTTTCGGCATGACTCAAATCGGTACGTCAGGAAACAACAAATACAATGGGGCAGGGCTGGCATGGACGAGCAGAGAATGCATCCAAAGACCCTTTCAAAGGACATTGGAGATACATTGTATGTAATTTATATGTTTCCCATGGGCTTTGTAATTGTATGTTGGAGGCAATGGCAATGATGATTGGGAAAACGGAAATAAAATCAAAATAAAACCCTGCTAAAGTCAACATTTTATGCATGATTTATGCAAAGGTTTCGATACCATGTATAGCAAATGAAGACGTCGCAGGGGCAATTTGTTTAATTCATCACATTGACTATGTAATCAATATCTAATTATGGTGTATTTCTGGCGGAGGAATAACAATGAATAAGTAATGGCAGGTGTTGGTACTTGGAATGACAGACTGCTGTGGGGAGCGTAACCTCATGATTACATACAAGTCAGTGTTTCCGTGTCAGGGAAATACCATGTGGTTGGATGTCAAGAGGGCCAGCCAAAAGGAGGAATGTACGGATACATTTCCTCGTTGTGCCCCTTTATCTCTTCACTTGATCTTTCTGTCCTTTTGCTATCGAGTCCATGAATCATGCAATCTTGGCCAATTAGCGTCCAATGGTGTTTTGGCACGAAGCCTATTTCCCTAACTACATGTTAAACTGAATATGACTGCTCCACTTGAAGTGCAGTCGTTTAGTGAATGACTTCCCACTAAGGATAATTGATCATTGTGTTTTATTGTACTAGAATTAGATAGCACATTCGGTTTGAGCGGAAGATAAACCTCTTTGACAATTACTGGTTACTGGTTTTAAAAGTGCTTATCGTGAACAATGTTTGGTCTCAGTCTTTAGTATGATCATTTTACACTCGTGAACATAACAGCTGTTCCTGCATCCACGATGACTGAGACATCTCTAGGGCTTTAAAGTCATGTTCGTTCCTGGACGAGAGGCTCTTTAAAGAGACAGTGTGTATTTTTTTACCATGTCTGGTAATATCTATTGAAATGTTGTTGAAAAGAAATAAAATGAAGTCCAGTCGTTGAAAAATACTGGCGGCTTTGTGACATGAAACCATAAAAGTACATAGGGTCTAAAGTACATAGAGCGTGGGTCTAAGTTTCTGGGGCACACCGTATTAGACTGGCCAGCTCGGGGTCCTGAGCCTGCCAATGACTCAACACATTCTCACACTCAAAGCATTGGAAAAAATGATGCTGGGTGACCAAGTATTTGTTTCCGATGCGTTGGGACTCCCAATGTCGAGAGGCGACACACTGTGCCAGAGTGTCGTTTTCCGACTGCCGCGGTACAACAGAGATTTCAGCGAATTGTGCCCTTTACCCTCTTGCTATTTAACCTTCTCCTAACCACCATCCTAACTTGAACCTACTTGCTCACATAAAACTTTGTTCCTAGTTGTAACGTTCCTCTCCAACACAGTTAACGGGAAGTTTAGAATAAGCAACAGGGTGGTGGTCAGAGGGGCCGACGGCACCAAATGGCAGCCTCGCCTCTGGTAGACCGCCCCAGGGTGGCTGTGGCTACATTGTAGCTTACCATCACTGGCAGCGTGCGAATGTAAGAATTCACGCAAGCGTCTTTGAGTGTCCTAATATGCGCCATATAAGTTAGATGATTTTTAGGGTTAAGGTTAGGATGGGGGTGAGGGGAAGGATAAGTAGCAAGAGGTTAGAGGTTAAATGTCGGTGAAATGGGCATTTTACCGCGGACATCGTAAACTGACGCTCTAGCAAAGCATGTCGTGAAACAAACACTTGGTCACCCAGCATCCTTTTTTGGCGTTTTGAGTGTGAGAACGTGTTGTCACACTTGATGATTAGCTGGACGTACGACGTTACAATGTTACGACGTTCAAAAACATTTACGGAGTAAGAAACAAATTTAGTAACAAAACTGCCAATCAATTTTCTAATTCTATGTGAAAGAACGGAATCCAAAAAAAAAAAGCAATGCATTTTGGCCGAGTGGTGCTGCCGTAATTTGTCATCAGCAGGCACAGGACCCCAAGCAGATCTGGAAAGTACAGTTACAAAAAAACTAGCATTGGCATTGCATTAGTGATGGAATTGGACCATTAAAGTCTGAGAAGTCACATTGAGGTTGTATGCTTTGTTCTCGACAGGTAACAACATTTATCATAATCTAAACTATGATCTAAAACTACCCTCAATTGTATGTACTGCCCCATAGCTCCAGGAAACTACACACTGCCACTTTAAGATTAGGACACGCCTCATCCTCGCTCAAAGTCAGGTCTTGTATCTTAAAAAATGTGAAGTGCCGCACTTTTATTATTATTAGCCGCATTTGCATCCTTTGTTGCTTTGATGAGCACTTGTTAGAGAAGCTGTTTGCTCAAACACAAAAGTGACTTGCAAGGACATGGAGAAATAATAATAATAATAATAAAATAAAATACACACAGGAAATCTGCTCTGGCAGGATTTATAAGATAAAATGTTAATTTTAATTATTTCATGTGTGCAACTGATTGAATGTAATACACATCTAGGTTCCATTCATTATTTTGTTATGGAGAATATTCAGGTAGGCGAGGTTGAATTAGTGGTGATGGGTTTTAATCAATGCCATACTTATAATGAAATGCAATCTAACAGAGCCAGATTTGTTTTTAAAATATTAATTTCACTTTAATGGTCTGCATTAGGCAATTCTGCCTGGCTTAATAAACTTGAAATAGAATTGAGAAAAGTCAATAAGGAATTCAATTACCTTCAACCAACAACATGAAAAGCGCTGTGCTTTCTCCACCCCCCACCCCTCTCTGCCCGCGGCCCTTTCAACAAGGACATCATAACCTTTCCCTCCCTCCATCCTAACTTTATTAATAATGCCGACATAAACTTGATGTTTATTTGCTCTGAAAACAGCTTCTTCATTGTATGAAAAAAGAAAAGCATTCAGCACATTTGGTTTTTAGGGTAATGCTGTTTCTGCGGGAGGCTGCCGCGACCAGACAGCCGCTTCTGAGAGATTTAAATCTCCGGGGGCCAATCTGGATGAGAAGTGAGGACTTTGTGTCCAGTCTACATCGCCTCATAACACACACACACACACACACACACACACACACACACACACACACACACACTCACACAGGGTGCGCACGCCCACTCATCAGGATGGATGCTCTTCCTGTGAAGGATTTGAGGACAGCTGTTGGACATGGCCCGATGTTCCGGATGAGATGGAGAAGCCGGGTGTTTGGTAGTGAGTAAAGCACATGCAGCACAAATGAGGACCATGCAAACACACACACACACACACACACACACACACACACACTCTCTCTCTCTCTCTCTCTCTCTCTCTCTCTCTCTCTCTCTCTCTCTCTCTCTCTCTCTCTCTCTGTAAGCTCTACACCTGCCATGCATGGAGACGAGACGTAGCTTCTACAGATGTAGCAACAGAGTCAAGTGGTGGAGGACTTTCAGAGGGAGGGTGGAGGGGTTGGCCAAACGTCCATTTCTGACTCATCACATAGCATCGGACATTAAAGCAGCGTTCTCTTCCTCCGTAAGCTGTCACGCTAAAGCCTGATTAAAAAAAACACCTGGAAACTGTTTCTAGCCTAAGTCCTTCACAAACACGTTTTGGGAAACTTTCCCAGCAGCCATCTTAGCTTCTAAATGCTGACAAACAAGTATCGGTGCTTTGCATCATTCAGAAGCATAACTGGATGTTCGGTGAATGTTTGTCATCGTTTAAACGTGATAATTCTCCGTTTTCCTAATCAGCCAGTCAAAACAGACCCAGGATCAGGCTGAGGAGCAGCAGCTCACCAATCAATCTGCCGCCCTGAGAATGAAAGAAACTCACTAAGAAGCAGGGAATGAAAAAGATTAAGGAGACTTGAGCCCAGCTGTGAATGCCCTTTGACTTGTTCAATACGGTCCTGCGGTTCTTGCATCACACAGCCTTCCAGGCAGCGGTAACTTGAGACATGGCACCTCTATTCTTTCCCCTCCTCCTCGGGGGCCACTGCTTGACGAAGATAATACCGGCTGAGGCGTTTGAGACTTATATTAAAATGACCCTCTGTGACATCATACCGCCAGAGAGGTCTTGGCACTTTAATAAAGTCTAGATGCCATTTATTTATAATGCATGGAAGAAGAGGTAGGAGAAAAAACAACAAATGACATTCAGCATGCAGAGCCAGGCTACTGCTATCTGGCTGAGTCTGAATAAAGTTAATGCTGCTGTCGCCATGGCAACTCTGTCTCCCTATCCCAGCCTGGGTGGGACTATGAGCTGTGAAGGCAGCTGAATCGTTCCAGGAGTCACTGTGCCCTCCAAACCCAACGACCTCCTCCCCCTGTCCAGACTGAGGTGACGAACGCTGCTTATCGCGGCTGCATGCACTGACGTGTGGAGTCCCAAACCCTACCACCCCACCTAGTGGACACTTATGTTGTGTGATGTCTGAAGTCTGTTGCATTTCTGTCTGAGGTGTTTTTTGCATAGCAAAGCTGCCCTCCCTGTGGAGGGAAACTCTGAAGAGCCTTTTTTTTCCCTCCATCTGAACCAATCCTCATGTAAACCCCTCTGATCTCTATTAAGGTAGCGCGACTCGGGGTTGCGAATGACCACAGTCACCAATTCTTGTCATGTGTCTTTTCCTATGTATGTATGTCTGATCTCAGAATTGTGTGTACTGAAACTCTAATTTCCCTCTGGGATGAAAAAAAATATCTTTGAATTGAATTTGATTGAATATGCCTGCATCATGACAACATAGCCTCCAGCTATTGCTTATCACCTCATGCTAACCCCTGCCAGGAAAAATGTTAGTCAACAGTTGTTGAGTGACTCTTTGCGGGAAGTCAGAAATGAACACTTGGCACCACAACCAGGGATGTCCGGTGAAGGGTGAAACAATAAGCAAAGCAAAGCAACAGGCATTCATAAGGTTTTTCTTTTTCAAAATATAAATGTACTGTTTACTTACTAACTGGACCAATGTTATTAGGAATACCTGCAACAGAAGAGGAGAAAAAACACTTTTAGTTAAAAACATACATGTAACTTTGACTTTAACTAGATTTCTTGTCTACATGTGTGTTTCTGCCTAAATGTAAATGATTACTTTACCAGTTTTAGATAACTGCCTGAGTTTATGTAAAACAATATTGATGAGCTAACAGCTAGTTCATGTGCAGCCAAGACCAAAACAGATTGCTGTCATCTTCAAATATTCTAATTTTCCAAAAGTCAGAGCAATTTATACAAAAGTTATTTTGTAATGCTTTGCACCATTTGTAGGTTTGCATTAGACCTTTACAGGGAATCTACTGGCTGTTGCAAACATCGATTAGCCTTTAAACCAGACAGACAGTAGCTGAAGCAGAAATACTTTGCTCTGCAGGTCGGTCTAGCCATGCTAGTCAAGTCAATTTTTGTCCCCCGCACTTTTTACCGTCCAAAAACAATATTACGCTATATTACATAGACACTGGATGAGCACCAGGACCAAGTGGAAAACAACCGCTTGTGTTGAAGCCTGTTTCCCATTAGAACCGTCCATGAGCTCATCTATTGGCTCTGCTGATACTTGCTAACGTGTGATTGGTCAATCTTGCCACCTGTGTACTTGAAAGTTTTGCAATCTTGACATCGTACAAAAGAGCCTGTAAGCTGTAGTTCTATACATATTTTTGTATACTAACTGTAAAGACCCCCTGCAACAACCCCGGTCTTCATGCCGGTTGTGTCCCCCACTTCTAAAGTCAAAACTATGCCAATGCAAGGATGTATTTGTGTAAGGTAGATGGCTTTCCAGACTTAGCATAGATTTCATCACAAGCTAGCTAACCTGGGCTCAAGGTGCTGTCAATGAGAAACTGTGTAACAGTATAGTTCATAAACTGAGGCTGGATAAAATTATATGAATTTTTTTAGATTTTTGTAGTTGTAGAGGTTTGTTCCACTGCACATACAAAGAGTATTTTAAAACTGGCTTGTCCAAATGGACCTAACTCCATATTGGACTTCTGCTGTCTTAAAATTGCTAAAATAGCCAAATTCTTACAGCAGATAACAATAATGTCAACCTTTAAACCTTTTATTATTAATGTAAAAGAAAAAAGAGTGTTGCCTGTGGCACATTTATTGTAAATGAGCATGGAATGTCAAATAAAAGGGAATTTCATAATAGTGCAAAGATTTATGAATTAATATTTGGTATAAGGTTAAGAATATCAGAGCTGTCTTAAAGGTGCAATATGTAGAAAAAAGCAAAATGGCATACTTTGGTGAAATTTGGTTACTGCAACCACTTTAGAGAAATCTGGAGCTTTTTGCCCGTCGTCAAATTACAATTGTCAGCGCTGCAGTATTAGCTCGCGGGAGACACAGCCACCCCACACTCACTGAGGGTAAACAGTAGTTAGGTCCCTCCTTCCTTTGTTTTGAAAGGAGAAAAACTGGCAATCCCCGCAGCCAGCTGGATATGAAATATGTTTCAGTATAAACTTCCTTCCAAAATAACTGAAAACTTAGACTCTATTGGGATTTTCTCACTGTAAAATCTCACTATATTCTTACATATTAACTGTTAGCTCATCAATCCTGAAGGAAGAAAGCTCAAACACTCTGAACTGAGGCCTTTCAGACTGCTAAAAGTAAAAGGATAATAAAAGTTTATCATTTTTACACTGAAACACACCTACAATCTGATCAAAAATCCATTTGAGGCAACAATTGCAACACATTTTTCTAGATGTATCATTTCTAAATATATCTTTAAACATCTTTGTGACTTGTGTTCACTTCCGCAATATAAAATCAGCAAAAACCACCACATACTTTAGTTTTGAAGATTCAGCTTTACCACAATTTTTTCTTTAATTTTCACAGTTTCTGATGAAGGTTTGCATCACGTTCTTCATCTAAACATGCACTTCTAAAAAAAAAATCAAAATAGCTTCATATGTGCCAAACTCTTCCTCTGACTCTTAAAAGCGGATATGTTTCATCATGCCGCATGCCTGTCCATCCCTCCATCGACCAATCTCTTGAGCCAGGCAGCCACTGAGCAGATAATGCAGTCTGTCTCATCCCCATGGTGACCAGATCTTTCCCACACCAGGACGTTGGCTGGCTGTGACTTTCAGAAGATTCAGACATTCATGTATTTCTTTCTGCAGCCACTTCTTTGTCGAACCAACCGCCGACATCTTGGTTTTTAATTAGGACTGTAAACTCAAGCATTCGCAGTTGTAGTGGCATCAGACACGAGGAACAGAACGGCGTCCTTTTCATTTTCTCTGTTTGAGTTCCTCAAAGGCACATGAACATACCAAGTGTGCATTTTTAAGTTTAAAGATGGATTTTCTTTCAGGACATGATATTTTTTCTGATCATCTCTTTGGAAGGAAACCCGTGGTGTGCCCCTCCTTCAACAAGGCGGCCTGCCCACTAAAACAAACGGTCTCTGAGAAGAAAAGCATGCTGGGCATCAGGAGACATTTCTTTAAAAATGGAAGAGGTGATTTAAAGTAGGCTCCCCTGTCCTGTTCACACCCTGAGGGGAAGCAGGAGAGGCATGTGAGTGGGGTATTTGGTGCAATGAAGCCGTCACAAAATCCCTCTAAGTTCTCGAGGATTTCTCGAGTGTGTTCATGAGTTTGCGTACAAGGACTTTGATCAAACTGTTGTCATTCAGTCACTCTTTGCTTTGATCGCTGCCTGCCAGTTGTATTTAGGAGCCAAATATGTGAACCGTCTGAGAGCTGTGAAGTGCAGGTGGCTGTGCTGACACACGGCTCTCAGGGGGGTGGGCAGATGCTGAGCCGGAGACAGGAAGGACAGGACAAGGATAATCACAGTCAGACAATGTTACACCGTGGTACAACAGGACAGTGGGATCCATAGCATGCACAGTTCTAACTGGTATACACACACAACTAATGCACCACTGTGTCCAGGGGTCAGTGTGTAGCAACCGTCAACTGGATAGCATGCTGATTTCATAATGACCGTTACATAGATAGGCAGAATGTTAACCTTTCTGCAACACGATGTTATGCTTGATCATTTAAAACTTAAACTAGCTAACTTTTGCAATGGACCTGACTCACATCCAAATCAATAACAGAGGCTTGTTATAAATAGGGGTTATCAATGTCATCTGTTTTACGATGTCCAGTGTACCGATATTATATGACTCTCAATGTCCTATATTAGCCCAACACACACTCAGAGTTATCCACATCCGACCAGATCTTTGCATTTTCAATTTTTACTCATGAAGTCAATCCTGCTGACATATTTCAATGAAGTTCTAAGAAGGTAATCTGCAACTTTTGAACTAGATGTGAACATTTACACAAATCCCCTTGTGATCAATAAAATATTCTTGATTCTAAAACCCCCAAAAAGTCTCATAGCTAACCTCTTGGTCCCAATTTCCTTTATCATTATTGAGTCACACTATTTAGAGGACACACTATGGATCAAAAGCAACCCCCTAATGCAGTGGTAAACACAGCCTGGTTATCTAGCTGGCAGAGCAATAACACACAGGAGATATCTACATCTAATTTTAAAGATTAGGAAGAGACTTGCTGCTACTGGAGAGAGAGATAAATATTAAACCGGAGTGAGGGAACGGGAAGGAGGGAAGTGACTTCCCCTGGTTATTATAGAGCAGACTCTCATCAGTGTGAGATCCAAAGCAGTTTAGGTTCACAGTTTGAACAGAGATGTTCTTTAGCTTTAATTCAGAGAAAAACGACTTTAGCTGCACATGAATGCTGTTTGTCTTCATTAAATGTGGAACTCACATGTATAATGATGCACTGGAGGGGGCCAACACATGACGACATGGCACACTCAGACAATCATGATGCATCCAAGTGTTGTGACGTGCAGTTATGATGTAGCTGGAGTATAATTCTCGTGCTTGCGTCCATCAGACTGACCACCAAGTCATCAAGTGTTTCTTTGTTGCCTAGAGGAACTTAAAGCGTTTCTTCCAGGTCGTGTTCTGGAGCACGCGTGGCCTGTCAGCACAATCATTCACTGCTCAATGAGCAACCTGTGGGGGAACGAGCAGATCCACGGATCCCATGTCGGGTCATTCGATTAATTTTCAATCACCGTCAATTCCAATCCCCTTCGCTTGCCTGGCCGTGCCATTAGAGGCCACGGCTCCAATCTAATTTGGTCCTATCGCACAGGAAGAGCATTAGGAGCTGCTTATGTTGACGGTGCGCTCCATTGATTTTTATGTGCTGTGTTGGGATTGAGGTAGTGAGCTGCTGGGTAGCAAACATGATCTCCGGTGTGTGTGTGTGTGTGTGTGTGTGTGTGTGTGTGTGTGTGTGTGTGTGTGTGTGTGTGTGTGTGTGTGTGTGTGTGTGTGTGTGTGTGTGTGTGGTATTTATTGCATATTACATGAGCATTTGCAGGGTCAGCACATGAGTAACACACACACACCACAACTCCATCTACATTTTACATACATTTTTTCATAAATTTGTATTTTTTCTCCTCTGGATGAGTCTTTTCTGTAGCTTCTTCAGAGAATCTTCACTCATTCAGCCTCACAGACAAAAGTCAGACTCGGGGGGACTTTACGTTGATTCTGTCACTTTTCATTAAGCTCTGACCTTCACTGAGTCTGTCCTGTTTGTTTTGGTGCTAGCTGGACTGCTTGTATAAAAGAAAAAGGAGGGGGGGCTTATCTGCTGAATTTCCACCTCAGGCAAAAGTTGGTAATTACTTTCCCTGGCCGCCATCATTTTAAAGCAATCCATCATCATCTGGAGCTCTTTGGCTGTGCAGACCCTGTGATGGTGACAGGCATTGCTAACTGGTTAGCAGCGGCAAGGCTGCCGAAACACAAGCACACAGTGCACAGGTTGATTGAATTCCTCAGGAGCAAAATTACGGTTTTCTTCGCTGGAGTGGCTGACGCGCTTTAGCTCCGTCTCCACGTGTAGATGTGAATTGAAGGTGGCAAGTCTTAAAGTA